ACACGTTTGTCTTCAGTAATCGTATCAAGAAGGTGGGCACCCACTGATCTGATTTTTAGTTCTTTGATGTCTGATAACTGGTCCCTTCTGCACCTCATGGTCAGTCAGGCTGGTGTGCTACTTCCATGTGGGCTTTGATGCTTCTCAGCTGGATGGCCTCTTGTTTATCTTCAAGCCTTTAAGACCCCAGATAGCTGGGCACCATTTTGCTCATGCACACGTTTGTCTTGGGCTTGATTTGCTCTTGTATTTTCTTCATGCTGAAGTTGAGATAATTGATTTAAGCCTTTTCCTTCTATCTAATGTAAGTATTTAATCATGTAAATTTCCTCTTAAGCACAGATAATCTTTTTTTTTTTTTAAGCACAGATAATCTTATGAATTTTGATATGCTGTTTGAATCTTCATCAAGATGAAAAATATTTTCTAATTTCTCTTGTAACTTTTCCTTTTATCCACGTATTTGGTGATTTTTGCCTGATTTCTGTGTGCTTAATTTCTAGTTTTATGCCATTGTGGTTATAAAACATAATTTCTATACCTTCCATTTCTTTAAATTTGTTGACATTTTATGGTCCAAATAGTTGTATCTATCTACTATAAAATAGTCTTTGGTAGATATTTTAAGGGCCCAGTAAAAGCAAACACATGTGCTATGATGATCGAAGTTTCTAGTAAAGGTCAATTTAGTTAAGTTGGTTGGTAGTGTTGTTCAAGTCTTTAGATGCTGACTGATTTTCTTCATTCTGTCAACTAGTAAGAGATGATACCCTAGCTCCATTGTAACAAGGAATGTTTGTTTTCTTCTAATATCTTCATAGTTTCATTTGCATATCCAAACTTGTGAATTGAGTGCTATTTATCCTGGTATGCACAATGAGATCTGGATTCAACCTTTCTTCTTCTTCTTCTTCTTGCTGTAGTAGTTCATCATTAACATTTAACTAGTATTTCTAATATTTAACTAGTATTAACTGGTATTTCATCATGAATATTTTGGGTAGTGTATTCAGAATAGTATTTGAAAGAAAAAATTTTGTGACTGTGCAAACATTTTTAAAATGTTGGACAGATACTTAAAATTAAAAGGGAGCAAAATAATAATACAGATAACATGATAGAGCAAGACATTTTTACAATTCTATTTTAATAACACATTTTATACATATATGGTCCATTTAGTAATAGTCCTACCTAATTAGGATTTTTCTTTCTGAATAACATACATATAAACTAGTAGTTATTTCTAAGCCAGTTCCTAATGATATTACAAAAACAAGCAACCCTAGCAACTATGACCATAAAGAAGTGGCTCACTTTCCATAAGTTCCTTATTTCTTCATCTTTTGATCAGAATTAATGCTATCAAAGATTATTCCTCATATGAAATTCCTGAAATGTGCTTATATATTACTAGCATATATATTTCTACTTAGCAACATATATTATATCTCGTTAGTTTTATCTTGGTTTTCTTATAATAGCTATTTTTTTTTTCTTAATAGACACAAGTTTCACACACAAAAATGAATGTTCTATCTTATTTGGGATGAGGAAAATCTGTAAAACCTGAATAGATAAGGATTAAATATGTGTCTGTACCACCAATCCCCAAAAAAGCTATTACAAAAATCAGAGAAGAAATAAACTTAGTGTTCCTTATTAAAAATTAGTAAGAAGTACGGTAAGACCTTTCTCAATACATACCCCATGAAGTGATCACTGAAGACAGCGGTGCCCGTGGCAAAGTGTGGTGAAGAAAGTAGATGGTGCCTGGCTATCATAAACAGTAGCATCTGGGGTCTTAAAGACATGTCTTCAAACAAGCAGCCATTTAAATGAGGTATCAGGTAAGTCCACACAGAAGAAACACACCAGCCCATGTGATGCAAGGTTCGCACATATTTCGGACATGTTGTCAGGAGAGATCAGTGCCTGGAGAAGGCTATCATGTTTGAGACAGTAGAAGGGCAGTGAATTAATTGAGCTACCCAGGGACTTCTACAACATACTAGAGTTAGGACTCCTAAATTTTTTGCATATAGCAGTTTAGAATCAAATCTATGGTTGTTTTCTTCTTTTTCCCAAAGGGGTGCTATTTGGCATAATTTCTGTCATCACACTTTCTGCTTAGGCTGGGCAGTCTTGCTCAATTGTTTCCTTGTATTGCCTGTGCTGCTGCTCTCAGACTTGGATATGAAATTTGGGAAAGCAGTTGTATTAGGCTGGGTTGACTAGAAAAACAAATTCAGTGATTATATATATATATGGAATAGCTTTATATCATAAAGCAATTGCATATTGGGAAAACATCCCAGACCAATCCAGATCAAGTCCCTAAGTCCTAGATTAGCGCATATATCTGATACTAGTCTATAAATTCCTCTTCAGACTCACACAACACATGCAATGATGCCGAATACAGGAAGGTCACAGGCATGGATCCAATGGCAGTGGAAGCATCACAGGGATGTCCCCTCAGGTCTCTGCTGCATGGCTCACTTAGATCTCAGTACAGCTCCACATGGTTTGTCCATAGGGAAATGAAGACAGAGAGAGAGAGGCCCACCTCTTCTGATGGCCGAATCAAGAGAGAGGAAGTTCCCAGAATCCTTATGAGAAGGTCATGCCCACAGGAGGCATCACTCTTAAACCATCAAGTTGACACGAGATTATGTAACCACCACAGCAGTTTTGCACAAGTCAGGCTAGAAATGGGAGTCCTGCTCACAGTTGATGAACCCTTTCCCAGTCTAGTGGTAATGGTGATTTTTCAGATATCACCCCTTGATATGAGGTAGGTTTCCACTTCAAGGCCTTTGTTCTTGTTTTTCTTCTGCATAGTGGATCACAAGGCTCCCTCCCTTACCTCTGTCTATTCCCTGCTTCATACAATCTAAGCAACACGGATTTCTGAGCCAGCCATTATAATTGCACCTCACTCTTCATCCAGCATTTCCTGTCTTCCTTCACTACATATTTTCTTCCATAGAACTTATTTTCAAGTGTATTTTAGAATATATCTACTCATTGATTTGGGTTTCTGTGGGTCCCCTCCCTGGAATGTAAACCTCTGAATGGTTAGAATTTCATCTGCTTCAATCATGATAGACCCACAGTGCCTAAGTAGAACCGGGACTGATGCCAGTGTTGCCCGATCCATGCTAATGAATGACAGCTCCCTAGGAGCACAGCTTCTCACTCGTTTCTTATCTTGTGCACGGTGTCTAAGTCCTACTCAGAGAAGTTTACCTTTAGCTCCACATGCAACTGGAAACACTTGCTCTGCCAGGGCCTGTTTGAAATACATATGCCCTTCCATTCCATGAGAGGAAAGTGAGAAGTCCTCCGATCCTCCTTCTCTTCCCCAGAAAATATAGCTCTTTATCCCCAAGGAGCCACTTCAGTCCTGCACAAAGATGGGTTCTACGTTATTGGAGCTCCAGATGTTGTCTGAGTTGTGGGGTCCCGTGCACTATGGGATATTTAAACCTTCCATGACTGTCTCACCATGGAAAAGCTATTACAAATTCGATGACTTAATTAAGGAACATTTATATTTATCAATACATAAAAGCATTGAACCTTAAATTAGTAATACAATTATATGTCAGATTTGAAGAATATGTCACAACACAAAAGCTTTTCAAGCAGATGTATTTTATTGATGAAATTCAGCATGAACCAGGACAGTTTATTGTATATTTCTTTTGTGTTATTAAACATAGGTGCTATCATACTTATATGAAGAATACAAATTAGTCTTTCATGAAAAAGTTGTGCTTTCAAAGGCTTTTTTAAAGGTTTTCAAAAAAGTACTTTCTCTTAAAAACTGACACTGAGACATTAACGGCATCAACAGTCACATTCACGAAAGAAGGAAAGCAACAAGCTTTTTAAAGCCATCCAGACGTGATCCTTACTGCAACTACACAATGGTTGTGAGCACAGCATGCAGTTGCATGCTTCCTTCCCTGGCACTTTAAGGAAGTTTGGCTGATGGCTGCTGAATAATGAAAGGTCCTGTTCTCTGCCTCCCCCTCATTTGTATAAAGCATTTCACTTTTAAAAGGCCATATAAAAACTATAAATTCATGTCCCAAAGAACTACTATTGGTCCACAACAAAAATCTCCTTCAAGCCATTTTAATATATTGACATTACAAAACTTCAGTATAAACAAAATTTTGAACCAATACTAGGCAGTAAAAAAATAGCCATATAGTTGAAGCTCATTTTCTGAAAACAAAACCCCCTTTTAGCCCCCAAGAACAGCAACAAGACAGCTACCCCATATTTATGTTTATGTGTAAAAGCCAGTTTACCACTTGCTGGAATCCCAGCCCAGGAACCAGCCTGTGAATGTGGGCGGCTCGTGGCCCTGTTTTATGATGACAATTGGCGTCCTCTTGTCTCTTCCAGAAGGGTCTGTTTCAAGGTACATTTTGGCTAAACAGAGTGACAAGACGTATCAATTCAGTTAGTTTTGATTAAACTAAAATAACTGTACAAAGAAAATTCTTCAAATAAGATAGTACATCAAATTTCCATTGTCCTCAAATAACCAAATACTATGCCATTTGAACAGTTTCTTTTTTTATTTCTCTCAACTTCTGTGGAAAATCTTTCCTTATTGCTTGAAAGGTTCCCAACGTTTACGGAACCTTATTTCTGGCACGACCACCCTGATCTTTTTCATGCAGCAAACATGCTAGAAAGAACAGCATTTCTCAAATGAAAATTGAAAAGTCTAAGCTATCATAGTTATGAAGGCTTTATTATTCCCACAATAAAATAAAGTTTTAGTGTTTTTATAGTTTTTCAAGTAAATGGATCCAATTATTTTCTAAACTAAGTAGCAAAATTTCTTCTTGACATTCTGCTGTTTCTTAAATGTATTTTTTATATTCTTAATTTGAAATCCTTTATTTTGAAAACACACACACGCAACTAGACAACATTGCTCTTCAGCGCTGAGGATAAAAAACAGATATTTATTGGTTTTGATATGTACTTTTAGAGCAGTGGTTCTCAGCCTTCCTAATGCCGCAACCCTTTAATACCTCATGTTGTGGTGACCCCCAACCATAAAATTATTTTTGTTACTACTTCATAACTGTCATTTTGCTACTGTTATGAATCAGGCGACACCTGTGAAAGGGTCATTTGACCCCCAAAGGGGTCACGACCCACATGTTGAGAACAGCTGTTTTAGAAGCTCTGGTGGGATAAATAGGCTGTCAGGTACCCATTGATAAGCACCCCAGGGTTACTGGCTGGTTCGGGGGAGGTAGCTTACCAGACTTCAGAGATTCTGTTCGCTCAACCTCATTGGCATCTTTGCCAATCCAAATAAAGATCTGAAACACAAAAGAACAACAGTGTGGTCTGTGGGAATGTTGACCCCGTGCTAGAAATACTATACACTGCTCATTTAATCTTTCAAAAATAACTTTTATGGACTAGGTGTGCGGGTGGGGAGATTGACATTTCAGATCATCGATTTTGTGTTACATAACTTAAGCTACTCATCAAACACCCATGGATGTTCCCACCCCCACCCCTGCTTGATTATCTTCTGCCCTGAGGATATTATCCTCCCTCTACCCAGGCCAATACCCATCTGTCCGAGAGCCAGCGCTTCGTCTTCCCTTCCTTTCCCACCCGCCCCAGGAACAATCACAGTTCATGAGTTCCCATCGGTATGAAACCCTTTGTCTTGACTTTTTCTTGCTAACAGTGGTCTCATATAGTATGTGTCCTTTTCCGATTGACTAATTTCCCTTCGCAGAATGTTCACCAGGACCATCCACGTGATGGGCAGTGTTCAGTGGCAGCACCCTCATTCCTAGTAATGCACTGTACGCCCCTGTGGGTCGGTGCTGCAGCTTCTTGATCGTCTACAGGGAGGCATTTAAGTTGTTCCCATCTTCCTGCTGTGGTGAACACTGCTGCGATGAACATGGGTGTGCAGATACCTGCTCCAGCTCTGACTCTTACTACTGCAGGGGATGGACCCAGTAAGGATTGTTGGTTCACTGATTTCTAGTCCCAGTTGTGGAAGGTCGTGCCATAGTGCTTTGCTTTCCACAGTGTTTACACAGTTTTTACAGTCCTACCAACTGCTCTGTTAATCTTTGTAAAAAACCCACAAGTTAGGGATGTGAAGCCAAAGGACCAGAGTCATTCATTCACTTGCCCATGGGGGTGGGGTGGGGTGGGGGCATGGGGAGGAATTGGATTAAATCCAGGCGGTTTGATCACTGACTTTTCTATTTACATGGTATTTTACATTTTATAAAGTAATCTTTCACACAAACAAGGTATTTTCTGGTTTGTTTTGTCTCTGGGACTATTTAGGGTGGTCATTAGTTCTTCGATGAAGATATATGGGGGTGGGTGCAGCCATACATAACCCAGAGCGGCCCTGTGCTCTGCAGGATCCTCTGGCTGAAACCTACTGTTTTCCTTCCTTCTGGATTATGCTCCTGTCAAACGATGATAACAATGCTATAATTTTTAGGATTTACATAATTTAAAATACTTTATTTTTAATTGCTATAATTATATATTCTGCACTCATTCCTTGCCTTATCAAATGTGTGGCTAAGTACTTTATTGCTGAAAAATTATCCTAAATTACCCTCTGTCTAAAACACTTTAAATTCACTTGTTCAAGCAATTTTGGTCAAATTAAGTTCTGATTGCTTTCTAATTCATACTGAAAGCGCTGGAATGTCTGTTTATGGGGCAGAGAAAAAACAAAGATAGCATGGTAACCTAAGTGGAAAGAATGATTTTAAAAAGGAAATGCACAATGGGAAATATTCTGCAGCCGTAGAATTGGTAGAATTGATTACAAATGGAGAGAAGTCCTTCTGAAGATGGAAATATTATAATTCTTAAATCAACAAAGGAGTCTTATCAACATGGGTTTTGAACCTCATTTCTTAGGAAGAGTTTATGATTGGATCTCCAATCCAAGTGTTACTTTTAGACTGCAACTTAATGTATAATATAATGGAATGATTTCATAATTAGAAATAGGCTTAAATAGTACAATCTCTGTAACTGACTCCATCTAAGGCTAGGTTTCATGCAGTTAAGTATCTAACCATTGTTCCATATAATGTAATTCCTAACAGATTTATTTTTTCCCCTTGTGGTATTTTTAACTCACATCGATAATAAGGGGGACAAAGAGGACACTCAGATATGCCCTGTCGGGTCACCTATATGCCTAGCTACGCCCTCCCAAATACCGACCAACAGCCACTTCCTGTGTGGGTCAAAAAGCCCTGCTGCAGGTGCTCCCATCTCTTCTCCAGCCTTAGAGTTGACGCTGTAACTTCCTGTCAGACCCCAGCAGCCTATTTTTGCCTTCCCAATGGCTTTCTCTCCAGCTGTCATTTGATACATTTATTAGTTAAGAATCAACAGGTGAGCAAAGTTTACAAATGAATAGAAAATAGGCATTAGAATCTTGTTTTTTATCTAAAACCATAGAATCAAAGTTAGAGACCACAGAATCATGTACTTATGAAGAAATGGACGTTCCACATATATTCATTATATTTTCTGCTAAACTGTATTGAGTCACTTTTAAATACCACCTAAATCTATAGGGATAATTATGATTTGACTTGCCCCCCCCCCCTTTTTTTTTTTTGAGGCAGGTTATTTTCAACACCTGGTCATAAGCACACTCTTGTGTTCCGAGCAAAATAGAGTTTTACCTGTTCCCAAGCATCTAGTAACATGACATCATCTTCTGCAAGATCATCCTGGGTAAATTCTCCTGGAACCTCCTCAATCTGAAATGTATTAAGAAGTTTTAGGATAAAACATGTATTATGTCACAGTGTAGCTAAAATAAAATTTTCTAGTAGTTTTCCCCTTTCCTTAATATTTGGAATAATTCCAAATATTTCCAAATAATATTTGGAGTATAGATCATCTATTTAATCAAGTATCACAATCGGATGGCCTAAAGCGTATCTTATATGGCCAGCACCGGTGGTTCTATAGGTTATGTGTTGGGCTGCTAACCACAAGTTCAGCAGTTCAAACCCACCAGCTGCTCTACTCTATGGGAGAAAGATGAGGCTGTCTCTGCTGCTGTAAAAATTTAGTTGTGGAGACCCTATAGAACAGCGGTTCACAACCTGTAGGTTGAGACCCTTTGCGGGGTGGAATGACCCTTTCACAGGGGTCATCCGATTCATAACAGAAGCAAAATTATAGTTATCAAGTAGTAACGAAAATAATTTTATAGTTGGGAGGGTCACCACAACATGAGGAACTGTATGAAAGGGTCCCGGCATTAGGAAGGTTGAGAACCACTGCTCTAGAAGGTCATTGTAAGTTGCTATTGGCTTAATGACAATACATGGGGTGTATAGTGTAGCCAGTGAGACTGAGTGCCCTAACGGTGTCAATTTGTCCCCAGTCCCCCCAACTTCCAGTTCTACAGGGCAAGTTGTCTCACACATTGTGTTGCCTGCCAACTACCTAGAGACATTTGAGTTTATAGCTTTCATATTAACTTCTCTTTCATTTTGTAAGTCAACATCAATGTATTAGACTTAGCAGTCAAGATCATTTTGTAAAATTGGTATGATGTTTTAGAACCATCAATAAAATAAAATAAGATTCTAGACATACACATGCATTATTTTTATGTTTAATGGGTTCAATTGTGCTCTCCACAGTGAAAATTGAAGGGTGACATGGTATGTTTAATCACCCAAATCCTGTGGGCATTTGTTAACCTGGATTCAATATCTTTAAAGAATTATAGGATGTTAAAAAATTCTACAGAATCCTGATCCTCCAGAAGGTGCAATGGATGGATCTAGAAGTCTCAGTTTCGCACTCCCTTCCTTAGCCACATGACTTTGCAGTGCAGCCAGCTGGGTGGGCGTGAGTGTGGCCTTAGCTATGTGACAGTCTTTGGCCATTTCTTATTAGCAAATGTGACTGGCAGGGCCATCTTCTGCTTCTGGGCTCTACCACAGGACAAGCCAGCATGACCCCAATCTGCAGCCTGAAGCAGAGCCTCTCCACTGAGTCCAGCCACGGGAAGACCAGTTTCAAAGGGCCTACACCCGGAGTGGAGCAATAAATGCTTAATGTTAAAATTTAATGAGCTTTTGAGATTGTTATACAGAAAGAAGGAGGAGGAGGACACAGGGATGGACACAAGACCTGGCCATTTACAGATAGCAAGAAATCTGATCGTGTTGTCTTTATACAGTACAACTACATATCACATAATACTTTTTTTAAAGTATAAAATATCACTTACTCTGTGCCAGGCACTATTCTAATGCTTCACATATCCAATTGCTAATTTAATGTTCATAACCACCCTATGAAGTAAGTATTATAAGTGAGTGCTCTGTTTATAGAGCAAAACAACTATGGAGCAGAGAGGGCAGGTAATCAGCCTCATATCATACAGCTTGTAAGTGGGAGGACAAGCACTAGAAAACAGCAAGAATGGCTCTAGCCCAGTGGTTCTCAACCTTCCTAATGCCACGACCCTTTCATACAGTTCCTCGTGTTTGGGGGACTACCCAATCATAAAATTATTTTCATTGCTACTTCATAACTGTAATTGTGCTACTGCTATGAATTGGGCGACCCCTGTGAAAGGGTCATTCGACCCTCAAATGGGTCACGACCCAGAGGTTGAGAACCACTGCTCTATAAACTTGCTTAGCCAATAGGCTATTGCCTCACCTGAATCTACATGTCAGCAGACTCCTCGCTGATGGTGATGCTGTCTTGCTTGCTATCCTGTCCCTTCACTTAAGATACCAAATGTCAAAACAAGAACATGAGGACATGCTGTCAAATGCCAAATATCAAAACAAGAACATGCGGACATGCCAAGGAAAAGCATTTCTCTCTCTCTCTCTTTTTTTTTAATCATTGCATTTTTCTCTTAACAGTTAATATACATGCACAACAACAACAACAAAAACCAAAACACCTACTTAACTTGTTTCTGGAACCTGAGAACAAAGTCAAGTTTATAAAATACAGCAAGTGTGGGGATCTCTCCTGCCAAGCTGGTGAACAAATGGGTCACAGAGGTGCCCAAGGACCCACCACTTTTTTCATGTCAAATCACTGCCGTGTCAAGTGTGGCTTGTCCATGAACGGTCTCTCCTTCAGAGCACTTGGTTACTAATAACCCATGTGCCTGTGACAGTACTGAGGTATTTGTTCAAAAATAGAGCTGTATTCATCAGGATGCCTTAACCAAATCTAAACATCAAATTGTGCATAGAAAAAGAATGTGTCCTTCAAATGAGAAATGTTGGCCAAGGGTATCAAACAAAGAAAGCAGCATTGTTCTGGCTAATTGTGGGGCGTAACTGCAGTCCCGGATGACAGCCTCACTCACGGTCATCCAGGCAATTCTGACCGAGACCGACCCTGGACGACAGGGCAGAACCGTCCTGTGAGTTTATAGATGATCACTCTTTAAAGTAGAAATCCCTCTCTCTCTCTCATGGGGCTGGCTGGTAGTTTCAAACTGCTGACCTGTAGGTTAACAGCCCCACGCTTAACCATTACACCACAAAGGTTCCTGGGATGATCTTCAGAGCCCAGCATAAAATCACCCTTATACACAGACACTATCACCACAAATTGCTTGGAATTCAAAGCTTGTGAATAATTAGGAGATAAAACTTTCCTGTTGGTTTCCATTAATTTGCAGGTGCATCGATGGCTTTTGGTGATTTTTTTCCCCTCAATGATCATAATTTTCCACAATATTTTTATGCAGTCAACATGGTGAAAGTTTTTACTCCTCTGGGAAACTGAAGTGTAAATTTTGCATAGTTTGAAATCAGATATTACTCTTGCTGCCGAAAGACAGTGCCAAATTATTAAATTAGCAACTGCATGCCTATTCATACAGCTCTGACCCCAGGCAGGCAGAGGTGCAAGGGAGATCATGAGAAGTAGCTACTATTTTTTAAAGCAGCTGGATTTAGATAGTGAGTCACAGTACCCTGGAAGCTTTCCCTCCTTGAGTGGCACAAACATTTAAGTGTTCAACTACTAGCTGAAAGGTTGGTGGCTTGAATCCAAATTATCTATCAAAATTGATGTAGAAGTGAGAGACTTCCCGGCCAAGGAAAGCCTCAAAGAATATGCTAAAAGGAACCCAGCACTACAAAAGACCCTAGTTGACCCAGTATGGGCAGAAGAGCAATACTCACCAAGCACATACAAGAGACCGCCACACAGAACAATTCCACCCAGAGACCATCAAAGGGAAAACAGCCCCCAAGATAGAACTGGCTCAATGATGGAAAGAAGGCAAGAATGAATCACAAACACACAAATGCACAACCCATGGAAAAGAAATGGAGGCAGGAAAACACCCAACACAAGAGAGATAAAATGACATCACAGGGTCCACAGATAGATGTAATCACCCTGAACATTAATGGTTTGAACTCAGGCCTTAAGAGACAGAGACTAATAGACAGGCTTTGAAAACACAGCCCCTCGACCTGCTGCCTACAGAAGACACATCTCAACATTACAGATAAAAACAGCCTGAGAATCAAAGGCTGGAGGAAAACATACCAGGCAAACTGCAATTAAAAAAAAGTAGCGGTTGCAATCCTAATCTCAGATAAAGTTGACCTCAAAGTGCAAACCATAAAAAGAGATAAGGATGGACACTATATAATGCTCAAGGGAACATTGCATAAAGAACCAATAAGCATTCTAAACATTTACTTGCCAAACAAGCATCCAGCAGAATATGTCAAGCAAACACTCCAAAGGATGAAAAAAAAGCCTCAATAATTTTACTGTTTCCCCCCAAATAAGACAGTGTCTTATATTATGTTTTGCTCCCAAAGATGCGCTAGGTCTTATTTTCAGGGGAAATCTTATTTTTCCACAAGAAGAATACTGTACACATATTATTTATTGTTTTATTAAAAGAGACCTCATACTTCCTGTCTGCTCCGGCTGCGCTGCGGCCAGCAGTGAGTTGCACGGCGGTGCCCACCGCTACAGTCCAGAGTCCAGAGTCAAGGTAGCTTCAGGGGGCCTTATTTTCGGGGGGATGCCTTATATTTCAGCGAGAGGCAAAACTGTAAGTAGGTTTTATTTTCAGGGGATGTCTTACTTTCAGGGAAACACGGTAGTAGGTGACTTCAATACACCAAAGGAAACTAAAGATCTAAACACTACAATTAGACAATTTGACCTGATAGATAGCTACAGAGCTCTCCACCCAAACAAAAACGAATTCACATTCTATTCAAGCTCACATGGTACATTTACAAAAATAGGCCACATGCTAGGGCATAAGTCGAACCTACATAAATTCAAGCATATTGATATCATACAGACCTCTCTCTCTGACCACGGTGCCATAAGATTTGAAATAAACAAAAGTAATATAAAGAAATCAAGGGCAAACCATTGGAGAATGAATAACTATTGCAAAAGGAGAGCGTACTGGCTCGGATAAGAGATGAAATTAGGGAATTTCCAGACTCCAACGAGAATGAAAACATGACAGACCAAAACTTATGGGACACAGCAAAGGCAGTCATCAGATGAAGTCTCATAGCATTACATGCACACATAACGAAGGAGAGGCTTATGACTGATACACTGGCACAAAATTTACAGCAACTAGAGTGGAGTCAGCAAGAAAATCCAACTAACAGAAAAAGAAAAGAAATAATGAGAATTAGATCTGAGATTCAGGAGAGAGAAAATAAGAAAACTATGGGGGGGAAAAATCAATGCTGCTGAAAGTAGGTTC